TTTCCCTCAATAAATAAATGACCAAGTCTAATATTTTTGTCTCATTTGTTTCATTTGGTTCTCATGATGTACTTTTAGGACGTGTGTGAAAATTTGATGAAGTTTTAGTTCAAATTCATGCAGAAATATAGAAAATTCTAAAGGGTTCACAAACTTTCAAGCACCACTGTATACAACATGGGCTTGCTGTATATGGTTCTTTGTACAAAAACCCTTCATTTATTCACTTTCTAGTCAAAATGGCCATCAAGTACCAGTTATTCATTGTTCAGGAGATTTTTCTGAGATTTGATCTGACAATCCACTCGCATAAAGAAAGGAGAACATTGAAAATATTGAGAATAAAGAATACATGAGGCTTACATAGCTACCAAGTAATGAAGGCATCTTGCAAAATGCAGGTCTAAATCATTACACATTTGCAAAACTCCTTAGGTTGTTCAGTAATAGACTTGCCTATGTGGTTTCAGACCAGAGTTGAGAAGAATACTTTGAAAATACTTATGATGACTTAATACTGAATCAGAATGGCTGTGAATTGTGATTGAATGGCACATATTTAATTTTAATAACGTGAATTAAGTATAACATGTTTAAATATGTCCAAAGCAGATTTAATAAACTGTTTTAACATCTTTTGCATTTTTTCTGCAGCCCCCATTTTCAGGAACACTAAAGTGGTATACCTCTTGATAAGGCTCCCTTTATCTGACAACTGTGTCCCACCTCCTTTAAAACCCACTTTTTCAAATGATTAAATATAAATTTGATAATACATATACTGTCAAAAGCATATTGTGCCACTTTTGCTAAACTCAGCACATTACAAAATTAAAATTAAATTAATAAATGTTTTCTGTAAACAATTTGCCATATCTTAATGACAAAATCTTGCAAAAGTGGTATAAAGTTTCCAGATACAAATTTCAATTGCTGTAATAAATATTGGCACAAACCTTGCAACTCAAAAAGATAACTTGATTTCATAATGGCAGTACACATCTGGGGACAACTTCTTCAACTTTTGGTGCTAGACTGCAAAGAAATCTGCCGCTAACAAGCATACACCCCACTAAAGCCCACCCCCAAACTCAACTAGGTACTTTTGATGTAAGGAGTACAGTTGTTAACACAAGCAAAACAGGCTGGCTAGCAAAATGCTATCATTAGCAAATGGAAATGTATATAATTATAAGAAGTCATGTTTATTATTTACCTCATGTAATGTGTTCTGCACAGATGTACCTTCACGCTTAATATGAGTTTTGAGGCGGACTGCAGCCATGTTACGTCCAACAACAAGCTTGTTGTCCATCAGAAAATGCTGGCAAGCTCAACATCACTCCCTACTTTCAGCTCCTTCATGAGCCACCTGTTTCAATACCGGTTTTAAGATGACCTTGTCCACGTGGCCTCATCATGGAATCCCTGATGCCATCTTAAGGGCCTTTCGATTACTTTTAGCTCAAGTGAAGTTTATTACATGAGCCCTCTGAGAGGTGAGAAATCCAGTGACCACAAATATCTACGTCAGCAGCAGAACTTGCCCACAAATCATTGCGAACCCACATATTTCCCTTTTCAAACCTAAAAATAACGGTGGACAAAGCTGCTTATAAGCTGTAGCAAAAAATACTTTAAAATGCTTTGCTTTTCAAAACCATAACATATTTAATTTGCCTAGTTTTAGGTTGCAAACTTTTCCGTTTGTTACACATGACTGTTGAAACAACTTCATCACTTTCCTCTGCTAGCCATGCTAAAGGCTACAAGGCTAACCAAAAAAGGGCACCACACCAAAGTGTACAGTCAGACACAGCAATTATTCTCAAATTTCATGTTGTGTTCAAACGTCCTGAAGTTGCAAAGTTTGCACAGAGAGCTGATTAGCACACTGAGGCTAACATAGTTGAGTAAGTGCTCTCCGTTTGAACAATCTGCTCCTCACTGTCCCCTCATCTGCTTCTGCAGCGAGTGGCCAATGGTGTAACACAGGTTTGGTGCACTTACGAATGGAGTTGAAGTTGGCGAGGGCATGTTAAAAAAGTGCTGAAATGGGATCTAGGCGTTGGATTGGTTAAGAAATTTCACACTCAGTTTGTTCCCACGCTAAAAAGTCTACATTCCCACCAACATTTAGCCCAAACTTTCTCATAGGTGTCCCCAGATCTTCTTTATACATAACTATTTTCCAACCTGTGTTTATCCCTCGCGAGTAAACAGGCTGTTTTTGTTACCTTTAAAACTGGCAAATGTAAAAGAGCTCTGTTCTGATGGGTTGTTTGGCATTGGGCCTCATTTAAGAAGCAAACCAGGCTGAAACACTTATAACTTCACCCCTTCCAAGTCTCCTGAGACAACAGTAGCAGAAAGACCCAGTAGATGGCTGAACAAACCTGAAACAAAACTGTTTTTTTCTTAAAATCAGCTCATCAGAAAATGTGTGTTTAGGCTTGAAATAGTCAAAAGCCCAAAATTTTGCTGTAGGGGTGAATGAGTCCCCATTCCTTCTCACCAAAACCACATGACCACATTATATAAACATATTTCTCTCACTTCATGAATGCTCTCTGCTTCAGTATGAATGGGCAGAGCTACACTACTGTAAGCTGAATAGGTGGATTTACACCGATCAGGCATAACATTATGACCACCTCCTTGTTTCTATGCTCATTGTCCATTTTATCAGCTCCACTTACTATATAGGTGCACTTTGTAGTTCTACAATTACAGACTGTAGTCCATCTGTTTCTCTGCATACTTTGTTAGCCCCCTTTTACCCTGTTCTTCAGTGGTCAGGACCTCCATGGACCCTCACAGAGCAGGTACTATTTGGGTGGTGGATCATTCTCAGCACCGCAGTAAGGTCCATGGGGGTCCTGACCACTGGACTACAGTCTGTAATTAACATTAAACATTAACCATTAACTGCTGTAGAGAGTTTATATTAACAGGAGTGTGTTTTTCTTAATACAGTTCATTCAGTTTGTTTATTCACCAACACTAGTCATGCAGCCTTTCTCACACTCAAGCTGTCAGCCAAACATGAGCTCGGTCTCTCTCTCTCTCTCTCTCTCTCTCTCTCTCTCTCTCTCTTTCCCTCTCTCTCTCTCTCTCTCTCTCTCTCTCTCTCTCTCTCTCTCTCTCTCTCTCTATCTCCCAATCTCTCTCCCCCTATCTATCTCCCAATCTCTCTCTCTCCCTCTCTCTCTCTCTCGCTCTTTTTATCAGTTCGGTTCAATTAATAGCATCTTACTGGCATTTGTGTTATAAAATGGGAATTTATAAAGACCTTATGAGATTAGAAAGTTAACACTGTAGATTCTGTAATGGAAACTGTAACTTTTAGCACTGTTGTTAACTTTCCCTCTATTTCTCTCTCTCCATTTAATTCAGTTACAATGTACAGTACCTCACTGGTTTGGCAAATAATACAAGTATAATTAACCAGTACATTTTAAGCTGTGTAGTAAAGTCTGTTATTTATGTAGTGCTTTTTATTACAGGCGTTGTCACAAAGCAGCTGTACAGAAAAATCCAGGTCCAAGCCCCCATGAGTCCCCACCAATGGTGACAGTGGCAAGGAAAAACTCCCTAAGAGCAAGAGGAGGAAACCTTGAGAGGAACCAAGACTCAGAAGGGGAACCCGACATCGGATAGCAAACAGTAACAAAGGAGCAATTTGGATACAGAAAAAGGTTAGAATAAATTAATTTGAGTCTGTGCAGCAGCAGCATCAACAGGAGGGTTAGTTCATGCAGGTGAGGTTTGCCCAGCGTTGTACAGCAAGAAGCTCCACGGTGGTCTAACAGGTCCAGGAGACGGGCGAGCAGTGGGCACCCGATCGAGACAGATGAAGGAATTGCTCGGCAAAGAAACACACAGACAGTTAGTTCTGTGAAGAGAGACTGATTACAGTATACAGTGTAACAGAGCGCAGCAGAGACGCCAGCATAATTGTTATGAAAACAGTTAAAGGTAAAATCAACCAATTTTTCAAAATTCATAATCAACTTGTTAAAATATGGACAACGTCATGCGGAGTGGTTTAATGTGAAATGCTCTGTTCTAGAAAAACTTACCAATTCAAAAGTGTTCAGTGTGGTGAATTACTGAAGAGTTTAATGCCTTGAAAAGGTCCCCTTACAGAAAGATATTATATGAGATGGTTATGAATACACTGCCTGATGCCTGTGACACTGTTTTACGATTGCTTTGAGATGGTTTTGGCCTAAAATGCATTGTTTTAAACAATATATTCATAGCAGAGGTACCTGCAGAATGTTGTAAGGCAAAATAGTCCCCAAAGAAAACTTTTTTTCAGATGTATCAATGTTTTACCATCATCAACATTACATATAAAAACGTACAAGTAGCTTCACTGGAGGTTTTAAATAATAAATAAAAATATTTGTGTTGTAGACACTGTGACCCCTGGTTCCTATCCCCACCACTGTAAAGAAATCTGATTCTCTACAATTAAACATTCCCATCAAACCACTCTGAATGACTTTCTTTACGTCTCAACCACAGAATTAAGCAAAAATTTTGAAACATAGGTGGAATTCTCCTTTTAGAGTGTACATTTCTATTTCTTTCCTTTTCTCTCCTCTCTGTCCCTATCTCTCTCTCACTCTCTCTCTCTCTCCCTCCATCTCCATCTCCATCTCTCTCTCTCTCTCTCTCTCTCTCTCTCTCTCTCCCCTCCCCTCCTTCTTTCAGGTGGGATCACAGGGATGTACTCTTCTCTCCTACTTTCTTTTCTCGCGCTTCTCTTCAGCGCGCGTCTCCATCTCTCCAAAACCGCAGTGACCACGCGCACCAGCCTCACTCATTTATTCACTCACGCGCTCACTTTTGGACCTCAGTCTTTTCCACACACGCATACTCTCTCTCACACACACACACACTCCTGTGAGGCGAAGATTGCGCGCGAGACGACGACGAGGCGCGAGCCGGTCAGGCTGGGCGTGCGGGCGCGCGCGCTCGTGGCCGGCTTGCTGGGCGTCGTCATGGTGCTCGCGCTGGTAGTGCTGATCCCGGTGCTGGTGCGCGCGGCCGCCGGGTCAGCCGCGGGAGCGCGCTACGAGGCGCTGGGCGCGTGCAGGATGGTGTGCGAACCGTACGGTCACACGGGCAGCGAGCCTCCGGGCACAGCACTGCAACCGCCGCCCACCACGCTCATCCGCGGCGCAAAGGGCGAGCCCGGGCGCGCGGGCCGGACTGGACCCAGGGGGGAGCCAGGACCTCCCGGACCCCCGGGACCACCGGGAAAAACCGGGGAACCAGGACCTCCGGGGTTACCGGGACCACCGGGGGCGCGCGGGGTGACGGGTGTGATCAGCGCCGCCACGTACAGCACCGTGCCCAGAATCGCCTTTTACGCGGGACTCAAGAAGCAGCACGAGGGCTACGAGGTGCTCAAGTTCGATGATGTGGTCACAAACCTGGGCAACCACTACGACCCCGCCACGGGCAAGTTCACGTGCTCCATTCCGGGCATCTACTTCTTCGTCTATCACGTGCTCATGAGAGGAGGCGACGGCACGAGCATGTGGGCTGATCTGTGCAAAAACAACCAGGTAGGTGTTGGAATTACAGGTTTAAAGTCACTGACTTTATTAGAAACACCAACATTGTGCTTCCACTCACTGGCCACTTTATTAGAAACACCTACTTTGTGATTTATCCCACTGACCACTTTATTAGAAACACCTACTTTGTGATTTATCCCACTGACCACTTTATTAGAAACACCAACATTGTGCTTCCACTCACTGGCCACTTTATTAGAAACACCAACATTGTGCTTCCACTCACTGGCCACTTTATTAGAAACACCTACTTTGTGATTTATCCCACTGACCACTTTATTAGAAACACCTGCCTTATATTTCCACTTATTAGCCACTTTATTAGAAACACCTGCATTGTATTTCCACTTTATTAGAAACACCAACCTTGTAATTCCAATCGCTGGCCACTTTATTAGAAACACTTATCTAAACGGACCCATTTTTATAAATAAGGTGTGAGTTTAAAGAAACTTCACGTAATGCAGAAGTTTTAAAATTTATTTTTAAAGTGTGTCCCATTCACCATCTTTTTGCTCTTCATCAATGGACACTTTCTGACCACCACACAAATTAGCAGCCGTCCTGTGGTCAGAAACTGACCATTGACGAAGAGCAAGAGGATGACTAACACAAACTGCACCAACAGATGGGCTACAGTCTCGCTGTACACCAGCAAGATGGAGCTACAAGGTGGGGGTTTTCAGTGAAGTACAGAGTGCGGCTTATTATTATTTTGGCTCCAAACAGCAAAATCATGTATTGAATGAACTCCAACATAGATGAACTGTTGACTGAAGTCCTACAGTGTTTATCTGTATGTTTGTCTCCAGGTGGACAAATATGAAAATAAGGGTTCATAAATGGTTATTGGCTTGGATCTGCAGTTGCAGACAAAAAAATCATGGGTATAGCTCCTTAAAAGTATAGGCTCCTTAAAAGTTCTTCATATTTGCTCATTTGCCACTATAACATCTTTTTTTTTAAAAAACATCCACGTAAAGGTTCTTTAGGCTACCAAACATTGTGCTTCTTTAGTATCATTTAAAAGAACCCTCTGGTTTTGAGATGTTACTTCAGTGCTGTAGATCAGAGATCTTCAGATCCTGACAGTTAATCCAGTTTCCAGTCCTGGATTTTGTAATTACTGGTAGGTGTAACAGTAGATGAGCGTTAGTTAACTACCAGTATTTAAAAACCAGGACTGGAAACTGGATTCTGCTGTGTGTTTATGAAACACTGCAGACTTTGCTGTCCATGGTCCTGAAAAATAACCACAGGCATACAAACCCTCAGTTTAGTTCTGTTCACTTCCTAAGTGAGTGCTTATTTTTGCAGGTGCGGGCGAGCGCCATCGCACAGGACGCAGACCAAAACTACGACTACGCCAGCAACAGCGTTGTGCTGCACTTGGAGCCTGGAGATGAGATCTACATCAAGCTGGACGGAGGCAAGGCACATGGAGGCAACAGCAACAAATATAGCACGTTCTCAGGTTTCATGCTTTATGCCGATTAGTGCACACCAAGACCTTCTGCATGCACGAATGGACAGATGGATAGAGGTCAGGTGCTGATGCTTAACTCTTCACCCAGAGACGTTAAACAGGCTACGTGTGAAATGACGAGACAAAGAATTCACTCAAATTGTTACCATCACTAAAGTTGGACAAGAGGGTCACAGTGTCTGTAACAACTTTGTGAGCTCCACCATATTTCATGAACACTGACGTGGAGCCAAAAGTGATCAGCAGTTGGAAGCAGTAACCCGCATGTGACCCCCACCGGTTAGATTTTAGACAAATCACTGTGACGTTTAAAAAAAAAAAAAAAGGCTAAAGAATTATCTGCCATGCTGTGTTTGTTGTTGACCAGGCTTGAGTCTGCTGTGTCCACTCCATCTAAAACATTCTTTCAGCTCAGATCCTGGGAAAACTCTGTTTATTAACAGTTAGAGCAATTATCAACCTGTCATTAAGACGTTTCAATGATGGCTGGTTACAGTGCTGCACCTCTGATAGGCTTTGTTTTTATAAACGTCATGAATTTTATTATGTCGGACAGACAATGTAAAATAAAAGCATCTTCCTGTTACAAACTGCCCTCCGCTCTGATATGCTTTTGTTCATTTGCACAGTCTTATGTGAGTAATGAAGCATTGCATCACTGTCGTAACAAAACCTGGCGTCTCTGATATGGTCATGTTGTACGCAAAGAAGTAAATGTTCTGAAAGGAGAATTCCACCAGTTTTCAAAATTGAGATGTAAATAGTCATTAAAAGTGGGTACATGTCAAATGCTGCATAGCAGAGAAATGTACTGACCCTGATGTCTTTACAGTGGCGGTGATAGGAACCAGGGGTCATAATGTGTACAACACAAATGAAACCATTTTATTTACTATCCAAAATCACCAGCAAACCTACACATGCCTTATGAGTTTTCATATGTAATGATGATGGTGATGGTATAATAGCGATAAATGTGAAAAAAACAATGGACTCTTTTGCCTTACAACACCATATATATGTACACTGATCAGGCATAACATTATGACCACCTCCTTGTTACTTACTATATAGGTGCACTTTGTAGTTCTACAATTACAGACTGTTCTCTGCATACTTTGTTAGCACCCTTTTACCCTGTTCTTCAGTGGTCAGGACCCCCATGGACCCTCACAGAGCAGGTACTATTTGGGTGGTGGATCATTCTCAGCACTGCAGTAACACTGACATGGTGGTGGTGTGTTAGTGAGTGTTGTGCTGATACGAGTGGATCAGACACAGCAGTGCTGCTATTAGACACTCCTACGTTGTCAGTCCACCTTGTAGATGTAAAGTCAGAGACGATAGCTCATCTGCTGCTGCACAGTTTGTGTTGGTCATCCTCTAGTCCTTCTTCAGTGGTCACAGGACGCTGTTGGCTGGATATTTTTGCTTGGTGGACTATTCTCAGTCCAGCAGTGACACTGTGGTGTTTAAAAACCCCAGCAGCACTGCTGTGTGTGATCCACTCAACACACACTAACACACCACCACCACCACATCAGTGTTACTGCAGTGCTGAGAATGATCCACCACCCAAATAGTACCTGCTCTGTGAGGGTCCATGGGGGTCCTGACCACTGAAGAACAGGGTAAAAGGGGGCTAACAAAGTATGCAGAGAAACAGATGGACTTCAGTATACACACACATTTGAGTGAATGAATGATTTGGGCCAAAACCTTATTAAGCATTAAACTCTTCAGGCGTCTGGTTCCTATCACCACCATTGTGAGCAATTCTAACTAAGTAGGTTTCTCTACATCTGAGCACTTCACATCAAACCACTCTGAATATCTATATTTGCATTTCAACTATTTAACTTAGAATTTGAAGAATTGGTGGAATTCCCCTTTAACATTAAAGGGCCCATTACGTGGAAAACCAAATTTCACTCACTTTTCAAAAACAAAATCGTGTAAGTTCAAATTGAGGTGGGGCTGGGGGTCCTGAACACCCTATAAGAACAAAGGAACCCCAAATAAGCATTACTAATCTGTTGTGTAGCAAATACTACATTTATGCCAGATTTGTACACACTTCAGTTTCTCCCCTGTAGAGGATATGATAACTTATCACTTACATGCAATTTGACCGGGGGTGTTCAAATTTTTGCATATGACTGTAAATAGGCCTCAGAAAGGGAATAAAAAACAAAAACACAAACATTCTGCTCGTCCAATTATCGAGAAATGTTTACATAATGTAAAGTGCAGTTGGTGGTTTTAAATGGTGAAAAAATGAGAAGTGGCGTTCGAGGAAGTTTTGATATGGCAGCAACAACTGTATCTCTTTTTTAGTCTCTTAATTGAAATTGGCATTCATTTGCTACATCACTGAAAGATTACAAATCTATTACAGTCTGTTCTAATATAAAGAGACTGAAAGTAGCCTTAGGGTCTGAGAATCAACCAGTATGATCTACGTTTTTGACACTGAAATCAACAGCAAGATTTGGTGCTGCTTTAGATTTATTTCTGTTTATAGAAAAACGGTGACTTTTCCATGCATTTTGTTGTCATGACAACCCATAAAACTCAAGCAACTCTCTCATAACACATGCAGAAACCGATCCAAAAGAGTGTTATTCAAAACACAACATGCTCTGCTGCCTCAGAGTTAGCGTGTGATGGCTCACTCTCTGCAAGTTCTTTTTAACCTTACGCTGTTACTCACCGAGAGCCAATGACAGGGCCATTTGTTTTGAAAGGAAGTCACTCAGAGAAGCCACCTGCTCCACCACAGATGATGTATTGGCTGGATGTAGATGCCTCAAAGAAACTGCTTCATTAGCCATTAGTTCTAAACATTCAACTGTTACAAAAAGGTGTCCCATTCAAATGAACAGGCAGTGCTATTACACAAACTGATTAAAGAACAACAAGAAACTCAGTTGACTTTGCAAAATGATGAGCATCGTTTATTTCCCTGCAGTTAGTAAGCACAGTTATTGCTATTGTTAGGCTGCATATTTAATTAGGCTTTCGTCCTTGTATACAAGAATGACAGATTACACTTTGTTAAAGTCTAAACATCGCATTGATTTGAATATCCCTTATTATTTCAGGCCCCACTGAGTGAAGAGGATTATCAGAAGGCATTTATGTGAAATCAAAGGATGTCTCATTCATCTTTGTGCCCATTTGAAATTCAGTAAGTCCCAAATTTGACTAAAACGACCTTGTTTTATTGAACGGAGGCTGCTAATTAATCAAATCAAGGCTTTTCCTCATGGAATTACACAAAACATCATAAATCTTATGCTGCTTTTCATTTCTTTCCATTTAATAATGTCTATGGAGTTGCCAGGGTGAAATTTTTGGACTTACTGAATTTATAGGTCTGCATGATTCGTTGTAGTTGCCAAAGATGAATCTTCATCCACAGCTTTCAGTTGCATAAATCAAACATTAATATACCATGTTGCTAACAAAGACATATTACTAATATCACAAGCAGTTCATTTTAATTAAAGGCCCAGCACAGTATTTTACCTTTCTTACTCAAAACATTACATTACCAGGAAGTCTCTGATTATACAGCACAACATTTATTGTGTGCTGGGGAGTCCCTGAACAAGGGGTGCCCAATCCTGGTTCTGGAGATCTACCACCCTGCACAGCTTAGTTCCAGCTTTAATCAAAACACACCTCATCCAGTTAATGAAGGCCTTCAGGAGCATCTGAATATTAGAGCCAGGTGTGTTGGGTTTCTCTCCAGGGTGGTAGATCTCCCAGACCAGCCGTGAGTCTCAACTCAGGGGCTGCGTCCTTGGGAGGCTGCATTTGAAGGCTGATTGCGTCACAGCAGTGCAACTAGACTGTCCCATTTCAAAGCCTCCTTCATATGCGGCCAAGAAATATGTCCTTCTTTTCCACGGCAACGAAGGATCCAACGGGTTAATCCTTCGCCAGCCGACATATCCTAAGGTTCATTGCAAGCCGGCGAGGATTCGAGAACATGGCGGCATCAACAAAGGAGCGAATGGTGGCTGAAGAGTACACTCTTAAATATAAGTTAAATATATATAAATATAAGTATTGGGTTTAAACTGAGGCGAATGGTGAACGATACAAATGTAAAAAAAAAAAAATAATAATAATAATAATTAAAAAAAAAAAATCTCATCAGTAGCCGGCGGTAAAGAATCTCCAGCTCTAATAAATGAAAAAATAAACAACTAAAATCAAAGTTTCGGGCTCCATCTCTAAAGAACTTTAAAAGAAGTTGACAGGAGCGGCGTTTTGTGGTGCAGCGGTAAGGGCAGGAACAGCAGTGCTGTGACGCACACAGAAAATCCGCTGTAGAGCTGAGCGTCTCATTTCGTTTCAGCCTCTGCAGGTCTAAGCAGCCTTCGAAGAACACGCCTTTGTAGACCGTGTCCTTCGAAGGATCCAGCCCCTGAATTGGGACACACTGCAGGATTGAGCACCCATGGCCTAAAGTAATTTCTGAAGTTTTAAAATATCATTACACTGCCCCATAACCACTGTTTTGAAATTACACTTTATTTGGTGTAAACTAATCGGCTACATCAAATTACAGACTAACTTACTGTATATTCATTCAACTATGAAATCAACTCACCCTCCCACACTCCACACGCAACTAGTACAAAATAGCACACGTTTTCAAATGCTCAGTTTCCGGTTATAAGAGGGAGAATGGTCACTCTCTGCATTCAGTTCCACATAATGAGACCAAAATGGCCCAAATTTCTCTCTAGGGATCATGTACGAGAGTGTGTAGTGTGTAGAGAGCCTTTTACTGCAGACTCATTTAAAAATTGAGCTCAGCACAGCTCGGGATTTGCCAGCTGACTCAAGCTGAATCAAACAGCTTTCCTGATACCTGCTGTTACTGCAGGTAACATGGAAGACATGTTTCTTTTTTTTTTTCTTTTGAATAATATTGGTCATGGCTCATAATCAGCCAGTGTGCCGACAAACCTTCAGTTAACAACAAAGAAAGTCATCTGTCGTACTGATTGCACATACGATGTTACAGATTAAAAACAGTGTTCATATTATTTTATTATTATTTTTGGTACAAGATACGGCTACTCCTACTGACTAAATTATTCAGAAATTCCTGACCAACAAGCTGATGGAGGGTATAAGTTAACTAGATAACACAACTGTAGAATCTGACCCTAAATAGACACTGCTGCTACAAGGCTGGGAAGATTTTTAGGTTGAGGTTCAAGTTTGTAGGGTTGGCTTAGTGGCAGGTAGTTCCCTGCACTGTGTTTGAGGATAGTGAGTAAGAACTGTGCTGCTACATTTGATGCAGAGTCTATAAATGAAGAGGTTCTAATGAATATGCTATTCACTGAGCTCTGCGCCCACATGGCAAAATGGTAAAAGGTGACACAGAAAAGGGAAATACGAAACACCCATTTAGGGTCATTTTTAGGAAAAATTTAGTAATTGGAATATATGAAATTGTCTATAAAATATTTATTATTGAAAGATGTTAAAAACAACTGTGCTGGGCCTTAAAGCACTAAACAGTTTCAGTACCTGATCACAGAGTCTTTGGCCTAGCTAATTTATGATCCATTCAGGTTCTACTTTGTCTATTTAAAGGTTAACCATTGTTTAGGGTTGTCAATCAGTATTTTGTCCACCTGGTTTTGGGTAATGCCCCGAGAAAGCATTTTCGGCACAATGTTCTTTAGGATGTGGGAGTAGCCATGGCCACCGTACTTGGTCAGACGGTTCTTGGTGTGGACGTCATGAGCGATGACAAGTTTGTCCTCATAGCCCTCTTTGATTAGGTACGCCAGCCTAAAAGAGTCACACAAAATGCTCAAATCAGTGTACACATACATACATACATACACACACACACACACACACACACATATATATCTGATCAACTCGTAACAGCGCAACACACACTAACTCACCACCACCACGTCAGTGTTACTGCAGTACTGAGAATGATCCACCATCCTAATAACAATTATTACAAAATTCAAATGAAATGCATTTCCACTGGTCCGCATCTATGAGTTATATTGCCTTAAATCATTTGTTCTCTGGCTTGTTTTCACCACGACCTCCTCCATCTGGACTCTCCACTTGAAATAGTCTAGATGCAATCTTATCTGCAAAGGGCCATTGTGGCTGCAGAAGCACATCTGATTCTAAGCATTTAATCAGTTGGTCTCAGTAAGCACTCAAACTGCTAGCCATCCGGTGAGAGACTTTCATTTTTGTTCAGTTTAATTTTTTTTCTGCAACCATCTGCGATACCCAAAGTGAACCCCATGAGAACCACTGTATTAAACAACAGTGGCAAACATCTCAGGAATACATTAGATAACTGCGGCTATTATTTACAGTAATATTTAAATGTGCTAGTGGGTTAAATCTTTGTTTCATACATAATGTATAAAACAGGATGTATGAAGGTTTTTTGCACCTGAAGACCCCAACTTACACAATATAGACGAGATTAAGAAACTATTCATAACTAATGTCCAAGGATAATGCCAATGTAATATCTTAAATTAAAGGCATGTGTGAGTCCTGATGTTCATATTTCATAATAACTTTTCCTTTAATTTCAAACACCTTGTGTGTTCTTACATGGTTTAATACCATGATGTCATGAAACCATATTAGGTTAATGTACTGTGTCAAACCGTATCAAACCTACTTATTACTATGAAGTTTACACAGTTCCTATACACTGGGTGCTTGTGTTCACAGACTCTCTATAATTGGTCTAAATCTGTTAATTTTGTCCTTTTTTATGATCCATTGTCACTCAGTGTTCAAGAAGTACTGACTAGAGGTCTGCGCATGACTTTTTTTGTTCCAGCTCCCGCAGGATTTCATCCCGCTCCCACCTGCTCCCACAGAAAATTGGAATCATTTGTCCCGCTCCCGCCCGCGTAGTTCCGTCAAGGCAAACTGACATCCAATATCTGACATAGTCTGTTCACAAATACATTATTCTCTGCTGAAATAACAGGGCAATCATGGTCATCAGGCACACTGTGAAGTATCTTCACAAAATGCCATTTATTCCCAGTAAACACAAAGCAGGAATTAAACCACAGAACAGTTATTTTTGGTGTTTTGCTGGGCAGATGTGGCTGTTGGGAGATTCTGCCAACTCTGTATGCTACGAGAATTTGCATGTTGCTCACATGATCAGCTGCTTCGCTACTCTTTAAAATGTCTTTATTTGTTTGAACTGTTTCACTGTTTCATTTCTTATTGTTTATATATATGTTTTAGTGATCATTCTACTTTATTGAGGCTATTCATTATTTTGCAGGATTTCTCTTCATGCATGCTTCGGCCCACTCCTGCCTGCAGTGGGCTGGTCTCCCACCCGCTCCGGCACTGAAAATTAGTCCCGCCTTGCAAGATTGTACACTTCTAGTGCTGACCACTGCCATGATAAACTCAAAAAAGTGTGTTGTAACATAATTTGACAATAACTACCGTATATCAACATACGTATTACCCATCCATAGGAGCAGACACAGGACAGTCTAACAACAACAACAACAACAACAACATCAATAATAATAATAATAGTAATAGTAATAATAATAATAAAAAGCAATACAGCAAAATGGAAAATGCTGGCCAAAATCAAAATTCAATACACACTTTTTTATTTGTTCCCTTGAATGAAATGTACTAAACAAAAAATCAAGGTAAGAAAGAAAATACACTTGTATTATTGATAAACAGTAATAAAACTAAACATGTCTGCACTGACCACTGCAGGAACCGGAAGGACAAACAGTGTTTTTAATCCATTTTTCTCATTTATCACTCAAAATGATTTTTTATTTTAACCATTTGTAGTAGACCTATTTAATCTCTTGTTTACTTCAGCCAAAATGTTCAGCCTTCTTTTAATCTTGCAGCTGAAAACTGAAAGTGCCATTTCTGACCACTTTTTTCCGAAATGATTTGCTGGCCAAAATTTAAATGCACCCATAATAATGAATGAACATGTTAATGTCCACCGTCAAAATATTGTTAGTGCATATTCTGAGCAATTTGCTGACTATTCAACTGAATGATGTGGACATACATTAAACCCCTTATGTCGTTTTTGATACTCACGCTTGAATCCTCTGGCTGTCACTCGGCATGTCTACCTTTGTGTTGAAGACATAGTTCAGCATTTCTGTGCCAAAGAGGTCATATTCAATGTAGCTTCCCAGTTTCGCAAACTCCAGCAGCTCAGCAGCATCAAATATGGTCCTGAGAAAATAAAACATTGAAAAGAAAATGTGTGGATAAACAGCAACTAGACAACTAAAACACTGCTTGCTTAAGAGCACTCTAGATTTTATCACCTGCAGACAACTAAATGAGGACAACAAGAGATTGTTTAGAGTTAGTTTTTTGTTTTTTTGATCATTAATTCACATCATCTAGTTCTGGAATGGTTTGTCACAGAGCTGCATGATATGGACAAAATAATAGTACTGCAATGAACAGAGAGTTATTTTGGGGCAATCCAACACTCATGGTCATCACAAACATGGGGTCAGTTCACAGGCAATAACAGTGAAAGCAAATTCATAGTAACAACCAGGAACAAAACAATGGTCAGCAAAACAGAAAATACAGAACAAGAAAAAGGAACACAGCTTTGTATTTCTGTTTTAAGTAATTTCACCCACTCTTCCTTACAGTTCAGCGATATTCCTCGGACGTCTTGCATGCGCAGGATTTTTAAGATCTCCCCACTGATTTTCAATAATATTCTGAGGCGACTGTGGGGGTCACTCCAAAATCTTCAGCTTGCAATTTCTGCTATACTTCATGGTGGATTTTGAGGTATGTTTTGGACGACTGTCCTGTTGTAGAAGCCAGACAATTTCTTGACTATAGTGTCATTTCGCCTTCCAGAATTTGCTGAAATTTAGTGAAATTCAGTCTTCTGTGCAATATTTCCTGTCTACCACTGGCTGTCACACAACCCTAAAGTATAACAGATCCACTCTCAACTTAACAGTTGGCAAGGTGTTCTTTTCATCACATGCGGCTCTTTGTTTCCTCTAAACACACCTTCCATGCTCTTGTTTCAAAAGATTTTCTGGTTGATCTGGATGTTGTTTTGCATGCTTCAGGCACTGCCTTTTGTGATAAAGTCGCAAGCAAGGTGTTCTTCTGGTGAATCTTCCCTGTTGATCGTATTTGTGCAAGCAATGCTGCACACAGGAAGGCTGCACACTTCCCCACAGGTCATTTACCATCATATGGGGGTTTTGCTTTGCCTAGCCAGCATTTGAGCAGTTCTATTTGGCCATGGCTACACAAACTCTTGCACACAACTGAATGAAAGGAAGCTGGGGCCCATGCACACAGAACTCCCTGCCCCGCATCGCCTGGCCCCGAAGCACAAACCAGCAGGCAGGCTCTAACCATACTGAAGCACGGTCAAGACAGGCAGAATGGTGGCATCGTCCAGCAAAAGGGTTCAGAATGGAGGCAGGGGGACAGGTGCGGATGGCAACTGTGCCCATGTGGAAGGAACCGCAGACAACTGTGCCCAAGCAGATGGGACAGCAGGCAAATGGGCAGGAACTGGGTCAGGGCGAGGGCCACGGAAAGCCTAGGTCAGCAGCAGGGCCCAGCTTGAGGACTGAGTCAATGCAAAGGAGGCTATCTGAATGGGAAGCAGCCTGAGCATTAAACTGGAAGGCCGGCTGTAGAGTAAGCAACTGTTCCAAGACTGGAACAGGGAACTGGGGGGCTTGCAGAGAAGCAAGTTTGAGGTTGCTCTGTTGTGGTGGACTCCAGACCCACTGTATCACCAACGGACAGCTCAGTAACACAGTGATGTAGTGAGTGATGTAGTCCTCCCAAAAAGTTCTTTGGGATTTTCCTCCAGCAGAGGGTCAAAAGCGAACCACAAGAGGTTCTAGAACTGGGAAAGTGAGCCTCACTCTGAAAAGCCCACATATAAGCCACCTACTCCTAGGCAGGTCCTCGCAGCAACAAAAAAAAGAAATCTGAGCATCCTCGAAGTGTAACGACATACAGCACTGGATCAAACAGAGCTGGCATTCACTCATAAACACCCGACAACTCTCAGGCTCCCCGTCAAACATCCTGGGGATATGAAGCAGTGAGGAACCAGGCTGGGTTGTGGCATGAGGGGGGCACTACTTACTGCATCTGTTTGGCAAAGTCTTCTGTAATGAAGGGGAAGTTGAAGCAGGGCATGTGCCTAGCTTTATTCAGGGCAAACCAACACTCCTAGTCATCATAAACAGGGGTCAGTTCACAAGAAGCGAACAACAGTGAAAACAAATCCATAATAACAAACAGAAACAAAGCAAGAATCAGCAAAACAGAAAATACTTCAGAACAGAAACAAGAAACACAGCTCAGAATTCAGTAAACAAACCAGAGATTTGCAAGCAGCAGCCAGATTTGCTCATATTTCCAAGTATGTATACACAGCCAAGGATGCACGGTTGCCTGAGAAGGCAGAGACAGCGCTAAATTGCTTTTACCCCAAATATGTTAGACTGATGTTAGTTACATTCACAAACAGTTAAACACATTTCTTTGACAAACTAATATGTTGGCACATTGTCCACTGAAGAGGAATGAACACTTCTAGAGGATGACAAGTCCCATCAGCATCCAGTGTTACCAGTTGGCTATAGCATTGGCTCATTAGGCAGTGTCTGTTTTGTTATTCATCAGACACAAAATGCCTGCGGATTTCCCTTGACTATTTTTGTAAAATAAAACAAATAAGTTTTAAAATGTATTCATCTGCATGATGCTGAATTTGAGTGAAACACCAGTGCTGTCACCTAAAAAAACGAGGCAGTGTACATGAATTTTAGCCGAAATCTTTCTTTCGTTTTTTTTTTTCGGCATTGCTTTTTTCCATTTAATCAGATATCCGATCCTGAACTCTAACTCGGACACTCGAATATCAAAATTAGTCGGAAAGCACATCTCAATATTAGACATGTTTGATTTCAGGCTTAAAACTTTAGGATAAACTGTGAAATCCTATTTTTCTTATTTATTTTTCTTGTACATATCTGCAGATGCTGATACATAAACACTTGCAAAATGCAGAAATTGTGACTACTGGATTAGCATTACAAAGAAAATACATAATTTATTTCTATGTGGTTACAAAAAAAATAATAAAATGCAGATATTTTAGGCCAACATTGCCTAAACATTCTGCTCTTTTCAGAGTATAATATATGCTTCATAAAATACCTGTCCGAAATGTTGGTCAAATCTAAACAGCTGTCTGAAGCTGATATTTATTTTTTAAGCAAACATCACTGATCGATACATCAACATGATTCCAAAATCATCATGCAGCACCAGTGATAACGACAAACAAACATTACACTGCGCAGGCCCACTTCCTCACCTGTCTATATGAGACATGACAGTTTTGGAGACATCTCCTCCAGCCTCCTGGAGGATACGGAGGACCTCTTTGGGGGCAGTGTTGTTCCGACCTGGGTGGATGATGACTGGACAGCCTAGCTGAGTCTGGGCATGGGCAGCTGCGCGAAGGACCTTTTTTTCACTGTCTGTGATTGGCCAGCTGGTGCCGATCTCCCCAATCACGCCACAGCGAATATCAGTGCCATCCGCCCCATGCAGCACCTCATTCACTATAACATCAGTGAGCTTTAATGGACAAAAAACAAAAAAATCATGTAAGACTGCCCTAGTGAAAAACGATTACAAGCATATCACACGGCTGCTATGCTGCAGTGACACTGTGCCATAAAAAAAGTGGTTTCAGGGGTACATGTAATGATGTTGGGACCCCAGGCACAGACAGCAATGGGGCCCTCCTAAAATTCTGTATTTCAGTCTCACTTTTAATAATAACTGTGTTGATGTAATACATTTTCCTAATGTAAAAATTACACAGACATTTGAATCCACTACATTTAAAGCATCAATCTCATGAACCTCAGACTTATTATTCAGTTAACAATAAAGAAGACTTACTGTTCCATTATTTAGGAACTAGTATGAAACACTCGGTAACCACTATTCGGTAATTACTTTGAATCTACTATAAAAGTAGTTGTGAACTGAATTGTGGGCCACATACAAAACCTTAGTTAATACTGTGTAGCACAAAATAATTACACAGACATGGGTTTGTGCTTTGTTACTATTTGGTTAAGTCAAAATAATCAGCAGATTACTTGATCACTAACATAATTGAAAGTGACTCATTTGCATTTTTATGACAGTATTCACTCTTGTGTGCTGTGTGCAATTGCCTAACATAGCTTATTGCCCTATTTGACCTGTCCATTTATGCATTTGGTGCATTTACAGTGAGGCTGCAGTGATTTCGATACATCGAAAAACTGAAAAATAAAGTTTCAAACTTGAAAACTGTATCGCCAATACGTCTATCTTTCTTTAGAGGGTTTCTCATTTGCCGTCTTATGCGAAAACCACCTGTCAACTATCAAAACTAGACATTCAAACTCTCTATTTTTAGGTAAGGTTTTAGAAAAAGTTGTTTTCAAATAATTAAATGTGTACCTAGTAACATATAAATTATTTGAGAAATTTCCATAAGGTTTTCATTCTAATCAAAGTACTGAGACAGCACTGATCGGTCTTGTGAATGACCTCAGGCTCAGCGCTAAATGCACAAAGTCCTTCTATTCTGGTCTTATTGGAGATTCCGAAACAGAAATAGTAAGATTCTAATCCACTATCTTGAATAATGGGTAGGCCTTTCAAACACGGTTTTTAAATTAAATGTAATGAATAGACAGTTCCTGGTTTCCCTGGGAAATCATTAATCAAAACATTTCTTGTGGAGTTCTACAGAGTTCAGTTTTAGGGCCTTTGCTTTTCTCTTCATATATGGTACCTTTCGGTAATGCCATAAAGAAACATGACATCAATTTTCATAACTAGGCTGATTTCCAATCCCATCACCCTTGTTTAGACAGAACTATACTGACTACCTGTATGTTTTAGAATTGACTGCTCTTGATAGTTGATTTTTAAATTAGCTCCTGCATACCTCACAGAATATCGGTCAGTTTGTGTTCCAGCATGCAATTTTATATCTGCAGATACTGACCTTCAGCAAATATATTTTATAAGGCAGTCAACCTTTTAAGAAACGTTTGAAAACATCTTTAATTGAGCTCCTAATTACGCATCTATCCGTTTTTATTTACCTTTAATCTGATCTACATCATTGCTTCAAGTGATTTTAAATTATAGGGTGTTTAAAAAAGATTCATCTGATTTCAAAGCACCTTATTTTTACAACTGTGAGGCACCTAGGAACCAATCACATACCAACTGAAAGAGGGTGTCATAGAGTTGCTGACTGTCACCGGAAGATGGCTCCCTTCAGTCTGTGAGGAGATGGAGACCCCTGAGCAAAAAGCGTTTTGGGTTCTCCATTTCAATAAGAGTGAATCCGTCATAACTGTACAGTGTGATTTTCGTGGGCAATAAACTTCTAACAGCTCGTTGGTTCCACAACACTGGATGATCTCCGAAATCGCACTGAAAGAGCTGTGAGTATAGTGACACCCGAGATGCTCAATCGAGTATGGGATGCATTTGACTATGGTGTTGATGTTGTCCATACAGCTGGAGAAGGTTCATATTGAGTACTTGTGAAATTACATAATAAACTGCTCATTTAAACCATTTACAGTTTACTGCATTGTTCTGTAATGACTAACAAGTGAAATAAATAATTTTGAAAGCGTATGAATCTTTTCGTATCACCCTGTATTACTTTTAACTTATGATTATTTATATTTTCCACTTATTTTGCTGTTACCAAACTTTAACTATAACAGGAGATATTAAAAACGCTATACAAACTATAAATTAACTATAAATAATTTTATTATTATAATTAGTAGTAGTAAACAATTTTATTATTATTTATTGTGATACTATTATTGTATACAGTAAATTGGGGGGGGTTGTTTAATATGCCTGATTCCACAATAAAAATGACAGGTCCTTTATGATATCAAATCTAAAAATATGTGCATTGTTACATCCCTGATTCACAGTACAATTAACAGACACACCTTCTCTACCGTCATCTTCCTCATCTCTGCCGAGTGAGTGACATCCACGTAGTATCCCGCCCCTGCCACGATGTGCACCTCTGTTTCTTTGGCCAGCTGCCGCAACACGGGCAGATTCCGAGCAATACCTGTAGTGGTGTTCTCCACTATGGTACCCCCTCCAGCCTTTTTGAAGGCCAGCAGCTCCTCCCGCACGGCCTCCGTCTCCTGGGACAGCAGCATGTTCTCCCGGTGGCTGTATGGGTTCTGCTGGATCCAGTGCACGTTCTTCATTTCCATGGGTGCAGTTGTCATGGCCTCTTCCCCTGGAGCCGTAGGGCAGAAGCAGCACTCGTAGCTCATGGTCAGGTGCTCGTGGGTCAGGGTGCGACCCAGCTGGCTCGGATCCACCAGGCCCAGCACTGTCTGGACTTTTCCACTTAGACCGGACATGGCTCTGTAGATGCTGAAAATTAAATAACAGGGACAGCCTATTCAGCATCAATTTTGACTCTTGGCAGGTTTATGCAGCCTAAAATTCAGTCAATCTGTTGCACTCATGGTTAGAACGGCAGAATGGTGCACAGCTTACTGTTGAACTAGTTCAGTTCAGCTCTGTAAACTATAAAAAGACAACACCTGTCTTAATATATTATAAGTCAGCAATTCTCCCAGGTCACTCCGTGAGGGCTGAACTTTGAACTGACCTGAGTAAGCAAAGGACTCTAGTCCAGTTATTCATTTACATAAGAACAGATTCTCGTTCAGTGGAACAATATTTATTGTTATCGCGATAATTTACATCACAATATGCTTTTCTGAACTGTGGATATTGTCAGCGCTTAAAAACACCTCTCAACCGTGTGTAACATTAGAAGATAACATAACTGATCACGTTTAATTGGATTTGATGCAGCACAATGCGAGAAATCAAATCAGTGGGTTCATATTTTTATAGTATTTTTCAAATATGATGCTTCTTTGCATGTTTTGAGTTATCAGATGTCGGAAAAAATAAATATTGTGACATACTGTGCATTGTTACAATCTTCCTGAAGTACTGTGATACTACATTTTGCCATATAGCATTCACCATAAGTCGAACATTATGCTTACATATATGCAATAGACTAAGTTACATTCATTTAATAACAAAAACTATCAACAGAAAGCAACATATGAAGCTAAAGGCAGCCTTAAAGTCCATGTCCTGCAGAAAGTATCTCTAGATAATCATTTTAGGCGAGACTGGCTTCTTATTCCCAGTTTTCAGCTCCACCTTAAATGCAGCCGTTACATTCTACCGCCTGTGAGGCGACAGAACGGACCCTCAGCACCATTTAAGGTGGACCGAGAAATAGAAATAAAAAATTGGCGAATAAGAACTACTTCAGATTCATTTCGTATATAAGCAGCAAATAATGCCATCCATGCTTTCCTCCTTCATAAAACACACCAGTTAATAACGCTACATGGAGATGCTAACAGAAATGCAGCATCAACAATATTCAGCTCAGCTCAGCAACAGTGCAGGCGCTGCAACAACAAAACTAACAGGCTACATTTTGAGCAAAGTCTTAGTTTTTAAAAGCATATAAAAGGGACAGTAAACCTGTCAAACCGGCAGCAAAAACTCCTCTTTGGTCTCCGATGTGTTTGGTTTGCGAGCGGAGAACAGAAGCCAGTAAATTTATGAGAGCAACGGTCAACAGGTCGCGCGACTTCAGCACAGAAATATCGCGAGACTTACATATTTCCCTAATTTCCTGAACTCGTCACGATAATACAAAATGTATTTTAGTACTCTAGTTGTATTAATATTTGATTGGATTTAAGTCAGTATAGTTACATTTAACTTTTGAAATTATTTCAACCAATATGTAACCACAAAATAACGTCTTCACAACGTGGCCCAATCATAACGTCATAAGAAATAAACCCAGAAAATGTTTGATCGATTTTAATTTAATTTAATTTAATTTAATTTAATTTAATTTAATCTAGTTTGAAAATCCAATTGATACAGAGCAATATGCAATAATAATAATAATAATAATCATCATCATCATCATCATCTTTGTATTGTATCTTTCATATATGTACTGTAGTAAGTATTTTAGATAGGTTAGAAGACAAAAATATAAAATCATCAAGGACATCAAAGCAAATACAATATAGTAAAAAAAAGTAATATTATAAATATATTAAGAATTAAAGCATAGTATGGATGAAGTAAACAGAGATAATAATAAAAAAAGTCAAATATCCAAATAATTAAATCATTGATCAAAAATTACAGAGCAAGAAAGCTGATCTGAGAACCTATACATACAAACAGAACACAGAAAATTGTGTTGGGAGTCATGAAAGAAAAACTTTTGGTTCCTTAAAGAATGTTTCAGTGCATGATTCTTTTTATTTAATGTTCCATACCACTTTTCAGAGCCAAGAATCATTTAGGAACCTTTATTTTAAGATGATTCAAACAAATATGGAGAAAAACACCAGCAGGTTTCTTATTCTCAATAGACAAGAGATAATGACAGACAGACAGACAGACACACAGGCAGATAGACAGACAGACAGAAAGATATATTTGGACGAATCGCTGTCCAGTAGCTAATTAAGCTATAAAAACGCTTTCTCTGTGTGAATGTGATGTAATGAGCGGTGACAGGTCCCAGGGACTCGTCTGAGCAGGGATGTGATTCCCTCCATGTAGAAAATTAGCTGGAGACAGAGCAGGAATGAGCCTATTCATTAGTGATGGCCTGCAAATTGTGTCAGGCGGCTTCAATTCTCTCCCCATTTGATACAAAACAAACCCACATAAAAGCGTTCAGCAGTTTTCTCCTCCATCTCAGATTCTTCAAGAAGACTGACCCTTTGATTTTGTACCTTTTTTCTGCAGTCCACACTGGGCCAACTGTCAGATTTGGCCTAATCTTGTACTAATATTCACTGGTATACGTTATGTCTACATGAGGTCACTTTTTAACATGTGAGTTTTTATATGTAATGTTGATGGAAAAATAGGTTTTTCTTTGGAGACGATTTTGCTTTACAACACCCTGCATGTACCTCTTCACCATAAATGGCTTTTAAAAATATGTTTTAGGCCAAAACCTTCTCAAAACTATCATAAAACAATGTCTCAGGCATCAGGCAGCATATTCAGAACCACTTTGTGTGGAAAATTATTCTGAGGAAGCTTTTAGAGGCAGTAACTCTTCAGACGTCTGGTTCCTATCACCACCACTGTGAACAGTTCTGACTAGCAGCGGTGGCACCACACTTCCAAACGTGGTGGGGCAAAACATGGAAAGCTGAGGTTTTTATCTGCGTCTTGGACTCAAAAAGTGGTGGGGCGTCACCACAGTACTTTGATATGTGGTGGGTCAAATGCCCACTCACCACCATGGCCCCAGGGGCCTAGGTTATAACAATGTGATTACAACATATAAAGAAATTTAGCAGTGCAAAACAGCACAATAAATGAACAAATCTACCATAAAGGGTTGTTTATAAACATTTACATTCACCACAAACCAGTCAAATATGAACAAAAATCACAATAACCGGCCAACCTGAATACACTTTGCTTCCTACTTAGAAGTTTTAAAGTGAACACACACACACACACACACACACACACACACACACACACACACACAACAGTGGTATTTCTCTGCTTCCTTTCATTATAGTCGTTGTATTCATATAAAAATATGTGTATGTATCTTTGAAGAAAAAAACAGAACTTTAATACATATAATACTCATTTTATATTAATTTATGGGCTACGTTCATCAGATCATTTGTATTTTATGGTGGAACCATAAAACCACAACTGTTCTGAGGTCAGTTTATCTTTTGTCGTGGTTTCCATGGAGAGTCAATGTGCAGTAATGAAGGGAAGTGTTAATGTAATCCTTATAAGATCAGTAGTGACCTAATAATCGCTGCACACCTGGACCATGGGCTGAGAGGGCGTGGGTTCGAATCCCACTCCCGCCCACCCTGCGGCTCAGAAGGGTGGGGCGGTGGTAGGAGCAGCCTGCCCACACCAAGGGGGGGTGCCAAACAAAAAATAAAGTTACATTTGTACTGTGAAAGCATTGCAGCAATTATATGTAATAAACTACATTACATATATGCTTATATGATAGTGAGTAAAAGAAAATGTTGCACTGGTCACTCACTGTCCCGGAGTGAATGACACTCACATACTCATATCTGACTAGATGTTTCTCTCAAGGTCAAGTTCATGTTTACTTTATTGACATGACAAAATTACATTTGTATTGTGAAAGTATTGCAACAACTGTCTATGTAATAAAAGCTGAAGAAAAGGTTTATATATGTAGTGGACGCCACAAACGCAGGAAGGTGGGGAAGGGTTGGGGGGTGGGGTCTGCAGTTCCTCCAGACTTCAGGACTGCAACTGTTAAAAATAATATTCTAAAATACATTTTAGTGTTTGGATTGTATTTCATCATGCACTGCAATGTATTCGACATCTTACTTCATGTATAAAAATACATGTCCATAATTTTTTTCCATATGGTCCTGGAGTGAATGATGCTCACATATACATACACACATCTGGCTGTATATATAACTAGATATTTCTCTCAAGTTCAAGTTCATATTTACTTTATTGACAGGATAAAGTAGCATTTGTACTGTCAAAGCATTGCAACAATTATCTATATAATAGAGCAGAAAAATAGTTTGTACTTTGAAAAGTGATGAGTCAAATGCTTGCTTGCCACCGTGGTTCCGGCGGCCCTGTCTGTAAGTGTCTCTAAAACAGAGCATTTCACATCAATCCACTCTGACTGACTCTGTTTACATCCTACCCATGTAATTCTGCAGAAATGTTAGAACACTGGTGAACTTCCCCTTAAATGCTGTTTTTCTGGCATCCACTTCTTCCAAAGAGGCCTTACACGGTAGCTGCCTCAGCGCCTGTGGTGTCTTAGTGGAAAGTACACTGTTGTTTGAGCTGTATTTACGTCACCATAGCAGACAATGAAAGCTCTTCCAGCAGAGGCTCATTAGAGCTGAGGGAGATTTTGTTGTTTTCAGCTTGTGATATGGTTCGGTGCTTCAGAATTCACATTAGCGATGAGTCCACAGGGTGTGAATGGAATCCAGATATGCTGCAGCGGGCTTTGTTGGATTGCTCTGACTCATTGGAGTAGAGTGTCTGTTAATGAACTGAATGTATCTTGCAAAGTTATAGATATTTGACAGCTTTACTATAATTTGAGTTGATAATTTTTTGGGTACGCATACATGTCTGTGCAAAAGTCAGAGACACCCATGATTTACTTAACTTACAGTCAAAATGGCCAGTAAGTACAAGTTAGTCATCTTTTAGTCATTTTTCAGCATCCATTGTTCAAAATTTCACAGAAGCCTCACCTACTAAATAAAATGCAATCTTTTCAGTGTTTACTGTGTCCAACATTCACCTTTATTACAGCTTCCATTCTATTCAGGAGACTCACTTTCTTCAAAGAAATCTGCAGACACACCTCCAACGTTCAGTCGTAGAAGTTGGTTGCATTTTCTGCTACTTACAATCCAAGTAATCCCAAACACATTCAGTGATGTTGAGGTCTGGACTCTCGGGTGGTCAGTCCATTGTGCAGCTTCTTTGTTTGATGTGTCTGTTTCAATTTCTCAGCAAGAGCTTCTTGACAGCTACACATCCTTTCAGACCCATAGCGCTGAGTCGTCTTCTCACAGTGGAAAGATGGACAGAAACACTTGCGAATGTTTTCAGATCTGAAGCAGCTTGATTTTCTCCTCTCTCTCAAAGATGCAAGCTTTAAGTGCTGTTTATCTGATGGGGACAGTTTTGGTGTCTTGCAGCATCTCTGTAGCTCTGTAGCTTTTAATCATTTTTTTGAACTCCAAATCTAAGAATATTGGCTATATATGTCTAAATAATTACTTAATATCTCAAAATAATGATTATTATCCAGAAATAATAACTTAATTTCTTAAAATTGAATAACTTATTGCATCAACAGTCATAATTGTGAGAAAAAAGTCATTATTTCAAAATATTAAGTCGTTATGTGGAGATAATGAGTCATTTTAAAATGTTTGGTCAACATTAAAAAAAATGTCATTGTTTTGATTTACCATGTCAGCCGTTTTTGCGATACTGAGTCAGCATTCTGAGAAAATTTGTTGTTATTTTGAGATACAAAGTCAATATTTTGAGAAAAATAAGTCATATTTCCAAGGAAATGCCAACATTTCGAGAAAAATAGTCATTAATTTTAGATACAAAGTCAATAGTTTTTGATAAAATTAGACACAGTGTCGTGATACTAATCCAAAATTTTGACATACTGCTATCAGTAACAGAGAAGGGGAAAAAAAGCAGGTGATTTTTCTCCTCTGCTTGCTGGGAATGGATTTCCATACACTGTTAGAAATAAAGGTTCTTACAGCTTAGGAAATATATATCCAATGGATTATGATACAATTATGTTCCCTGACTAAAGATACTGAAATGTACCCTTGAGGATACCACCCCAGAGTCAAGAGGGTACTGCCACAGTACAGTACAGCTATATCTGAGAGTGTAGAGAAGTACGATCCCATCATACTGAAGTTGTGATGGAGGATAATATGATGGGGTGGAGCATTTCATGCAAAACTGGCTCTGATGTCAGTTTTTCAACAGCAAATTATATGAA